TTTAGAGCATGGGCGAAATGTGACATACCTTGATCTCTTGAACGAATTAACTCCACGCCATCCGAAAGCGTACCAGACAGCGCACTCCAAGATCACGCATCCAATGGACCAAATGTCGGAAGCCGGATAGAGATCGAGCTCTGGTGGCCTATAGCATGGTGTTCCACTTACCCGAATTCTATCGCGTGATGGCGCTCCACGGGCCTCTGTGTTACGAAACTCCGCGAGTCCGAAGTCACTAATCTTTAGAATACCAAAATTGTGATCTCTGTTGCCCTCCGGGACCCCTTGGAAGCATAGGATATTAGCCGGCTTGATATCGCCGTGTCGCCCATAGAGGAAATCGTTGTTTGCTGCTGCAGTCTTTGAGGTGTCCTGCCTCCAACCCCGACGAAAGGGGCGGTGAATTGCAGCGAGGGCATCGGCGAGCCCATGCAGTTGCGTTACCAGCCACATGAAAGTGGATTTTTCTTCAATCCTAGATTGGAGTGGGCTCGGGTGTTGCTGCCAAAAGCCCTGAAGGTCGCAGTCGGCCCAAGGAAATAAGAAATGGAACTGGGGAAACTGGGAATGGTGCTGAAATGTGGCGAGAAGTCTGATTATATGCTGATGGTTAGTGACCGCGAGCATTCTCAGCGCTGAAGCCTCTTTTTCGTATTTTTCCCGATTCGAAGAGAAAAGTGTCTTGAGTGCGAAAAGTTGGCTCTTATCAGCAGGCACGAAACCACGATGAGCTGGGTGAATCCGGACTTTCCTCACGTGGCTGGAGCCACCTGCAGCGCCGTTTCCAGGGTCTTCGATGAATGGGAGAGTGTCGGAGGAACTGAGCGTGAAGTTCGGTGGCATGTTTTGAGGAGTGTCCTGCAAAAGATATGTAAGAGGCTCCAGGATTCTGTGTGACTTGTTCTTCGGGGGGGAAGCTATCTCTCTCGTGATGACGCGTGACAGAGCACAGGAAGGGTGTAGCTCCTCTCGCGAGGCAAAGCGAGCCAAAATATCGAGAGAGGTATAGACCCCGTCACCCACCATGTCCAGAGTGTATATAAGAAACGACGGAGTAAGTGGAAACCTGTGCACATCTGCCTGGCCCGTTGCTTCAATCGTGCTGCTGATGCATACACCAGTGTACGCGGCCGCATTAGCCCCTGCAGCGAGGATGATACGATTTCTGCATTGAAGTATAGCTTCTCGACTCGTCTTATAATAATCCGAACCTTCACAGAATGATAATTGCGTGACTTCTTCTCCCATGCCTTCAACAAAGACGGCGAGCTTGCAGGTTTTGATGATGCTACTGCCACTATGACTCCCGGGGAGCAAAGAAGACAGTTTTGTTTCTTGTGTCGATTGCGTCTTCATCATTTCCGTCGATTGTCGGGTTTCCACAGATGAAGAAGTGGTGTCGTGAAGGTCCGTGGCTGCACCTTCGGTAACGTGCATCTCGGCGGCGGGCAGGCTGCTCCCACAACCAGGAAAATTGCCTTGGAAATCTCTAGGATACACCGAACAGCTCGATTCAGACTCCTCTGATAGACTTGCTATCGCGCTGTTAGAGGATACTGCATGTGATATAGCCGATGTAGAATCGGCGCGATGGGCTTCTCCCTCCTCGGCTAGAGAGCTCAACTCTCGGATCCACGAGGACTCGCAGACTTTTCGGTAGACTTTGGTTTCCAGTAGCACCGAGTCGAAGGAGAACTTCGTTAGGCCTGTGTCAATGTGGTCTTCGTGCGAGGCCCCAGTGTTCTTGGCCGACATGGAGGATGCTTTCTGGAACAGCTGGACGCTGGATGCTTGCTCGAGGGCTACCGTTCGCTCATCGTTCGAGCGCCTTTATCGAATCAGTAGGGCTCCAAGAATATCTGAAATCTTCGACTCACAATTTTGAGATCTCAAGTAGTAGTGTCAATGCCTGGATCTGCACTCCTAGCATTTTCTCCCACTTTTCAACTTGCGAAGCCTTTCGCAAGTGCATAATCTTGGCCATTGTGGGGGAGCTTTCTGCCTGAGTCCTGACAGCTTGGATGTGGCCTTCTATTTGTTGGATAATGGTATGAACGGCCGCAGTGGAATCTTCAAGGTGTGTCACAAAGACCACGGGGAATATCTGAGGTCGTTCTTGTTGCAACAAGCATATTTGGCGTATGGCAAAGTTGATAGTCTTGGTTTGTTGCAAGATAGTATCGACGTGCTCTAGTGCTCCATTGAAGTCTTTCTGCAGAGTGTGTAATGCGAACCCGAGCCTCACCACGACGTCTGCGACTCCAATCACGCCTGCAACTACTTCCGCCATAGCTTCTCAGAATCACAAACGGTAAGGGGTCAAGCAGACTGGGTGGAGCTATGATGAGTGAAGTTGGAAGAAAGCCGGCGGGCGGAACGATGGGGGTCTTTGAAGAAAGTGCGGGTGATTGAGATAATGAGTAGGCTTGAGGGCAATTGGGCCTCGACCTTTTGATCGGCGAAGAAATCGGGTAGCAATCACTCGACTGCGCCCACCTGCATTATTCTATTAGCACACCTCATCTTTAAGCATGAGTGAACTACTACCGGAGAAAGCTGGGACTTAATACTGGTAAACGTACGAATCAGGACCTCCCCCCGCCCCCCGAGGTGCACCTAATTTCACGAGCTGACTGGCGCTGATAGTGCTTATGCAACAACATCCTATTGGAACAGAAGACTGCACCAAGCAACTGAAAGGGTGGCCACCCCTCATCGACGACATCTGAAAGAAGTGTGGTGGTGGGGCCAGCCCATATACCTGCGTGTTTGAAGTTGTATTTTGTACGCTGTCGAGGGTGATGCGTAGAAACTATTCGATGGGCACAAAGAAAGGCCTCCGCTGGCTGAGCTGAATGTGTCATGGCCGTGGAGCAGGAACATCAAGGGAACCTCCATATGCATGCTGATGATTCTGGGTGTCGTAGCTTCTGGTGTATCTTCATAATTGCAGTTCTCAGCGTAGGAGAGCGTTGCTGCTATTACTACTATGTAGACGATGCCGAGCTCACGAAGTCGTGCGTATCCGCAAAGTTAGCAACAGGTCTGAGATGCCTGGCTCTTTAATTTCGCAAACGGCTAATCAGGGTCGAAGCTATGATATGCCCAAGGCTACTAAATGGCCCCTCGACAGATTGTCTTCGTCGATGTTCTTGGTAACCTGTCGGGAGTGGTTTGTCGGATCTCTGTATATAACTTTGAGGGACTTGTATGCCGAAGGTCCTAAGGCGGTCCAGCCCCGTGTAAACCACGGAGAAAAGATCAACGCAAGAGCAGGAGGCCCATAATTCGCCCAATCAAAGTGAAGAAGACAATGTTCGTGTATCACCGTATTCTTGGCATTGGCGTAGTTCTCATGCATCCTACTCAAGCCTTCCGTCGGGCCTGTCGTTCCGTCGGAATGCATCTCGCCTCCACTAGACCCCGTCACAGCCTTATCCGGATCGCCATACTTGCAAAGTAAGAGGTCGGACAATGTTTCACTTCGGAGTTGCTCGAGAGGCAAAGTGGTTTGTGAGCGCTTTGTGTGTATACACTTATGCAATTGTCGCTCGAAGGCGCTGTTTCATCGGCAGATAAACAAAAGGCTGCCGAGCATTGGCCGTTGCCCTCGTGGGCACAAGATCCCTGAAGTTGCCTCATCGTGCTGCAAGTTCTATTAATAGAGCAGGGAGATCACCCTGGGGCATCCTGCCGTCGTCTAGCACAACCTGCGAGATTCCAAAGACGCTTTATACAGATAAGTAATCTTTCGGCTGTATTAATAGCTCGCCTGACTGCAGGTAATGTCAAATATCATGGTGTTTCTTCGTAGTTCCATGCCCAAAGTCGGTGATTGTTGGTTTTTGTAGCTCATACCCGTTATGGACAATTGTGCATGGACGTTGAATTCGACTCAGCAGCAGATATGCGACCTTGGAGACTTCATATATCGTTTGCACATCTCCTGTGAAGGCCGAGGGCTCTTAAATACTGTAAAGGTTCCAAGGTGTTCAGATCGATAAAATGAAAAGGCGTCGTGGAACTGATAACCCGCACCGGCAGCTGTCAATTTGCACGAAGTAGCGGCCAGTGCTCATTGGCGGAAACTATACGAAAGGCTGGATAGCTATGAGCGGAAGCAAATTTGGCCGAACTTCCTGAGAAATTCAAGACGCTGGGAGAGCAGCGACCTATGGTTCTCAATAACATCGATTTGCAATCGAGGAGCTGGCCGAGCACCGTACGAATGGAAAATACATACGAAACTCCATGACTACGGGCAGGCAATTGGCTAAGTGTCGAGAGACAAGAACCACGGCCTCACACCTGAAGAGGAGCATACGGTATCAAAAAAGTTTGGCAAGTATCTGGGAAATGTGAGGGAAGGCCGTTCGAAGATGGAGGAAGGTCGCGTGGCGGATGGAACATATCTGGGGTGAGTATTGAGCCAGGATGGAATCGACGTGATGCATCACGCTTTCCAGAGCAGCTAAATATGTACCTAGGTATCAAGATGTTCATGGTAGGGTAGGTACCGCCGTCGATTGTGTCTGCTACACCCAGGTTCCCTAACCACCTGGCGACCTCGGGAAGAGCTAAAGCTCCTGTCTATCATTTAGCTACTTACATACCAATGCGGCTGCGGTGTTGGGATCTATGGTCGAGTATTTGCGATGCCTTGGTAGCTAAAGGAACAGATCAAGGAACAAGAACCCAATATCTTTTGTTACCACATGTTACCGGACACTACGTCTGCTTTCCGCGCCTCAAGCCTTTGGACCGTTGAGCTCCCTACCCCAATATTTACACGGCCTTAAAAGCTCCCCGCGGTAAAGTTGCAACGATACTAGCTAGATCAAGCAAACCAAGTGATAGAGTCAGGGGTCAGTGGTATGAATCGTGACTACTCTAGGGTAATGTGTGCCTGACCTGCATGCATTGACTTCGGGCTACACCAGAAGTGAAGCCAAAGTCGGACAAAATAAGGGCAAAAAGTAGCAAAAAAATATTGTTTCGGGTCTGGCCGGGGATTGAACCCGCTGTGATGTTGTTAGAATTTATTGTTTGGTTGGTTTGATTTAGATGAGTATATACTTACGGACCTCGCGCAATTAACTCAGAGTAATCCCTAAGCGCGAATCATACCACTAGACCACCAGACCTGAGAAAGGTACCTCGATTTGAAGCCGAGGCTTGTTCCGTTGTGGAGCCGTTTATTCGAGGCGGTTATATCCTACCAGCGAGACATGCCTCCATGACAGTCAAGTACATAATAGTCAGGACGGCACGCTGGTGTCAACGACATGACATGGGACACAAGAGCAGAACATAGTCAACGGCGAGATGGACCTCGGGAGCAATCGAGATTTGTCAGCAGCAGGCCACGGGATCAATGACAATATCAGGGAGGATAGCCGAGTGAGAAATCGCTCAAGCCAGGTGACACGAATAATCGTACCATGTATCTAGAGCCAAGCATCCCAACATCACTGACCGTTAGCGACATCGGCAACGTGCTGGGTGGTGCCCGCGGGTTGTGGTTAGCGTCATTACATGACACGGCATCCAGGAGCCTCAGGGAGTTAAGTTTAACGGATTCGCGGGGAAGCAGGCTCGACCTTGGAAGGAGCAGACATATGGGGCAACCCCTGATCATCCCTCTGCCTTCTGATCAACCTGTTGTTGATGAGTATAACCAGATCTTGGCCACGATATGACAACACCTATAACCCCTCCAGTTTTATCATATTTGTCTAAGACAGTCCAATAACACATCCTAATCCATGAACTTGTTTTGCAGACACTTATTCTTTATGTATGCAGGGCATATATCAAAGAATTGTGGGAACCAGCTACGTATAAACAGCACTTGTATGTGGACATCTATATACGATATCACCGGTTTCCATCGGCCTGCCTTCTCCAAGCTAAGAGATTTAGGACGAAGGCAATCCATAAGATGGCATGACAAACTTCCGGAAGGACAAGACACTATACAAAGCATCGAAGACTTTCCTAACGATATCGCCTCCCATTGTCGGATAGTGTATATGCTATGCCGTCTGGAGGTGAGTAATAAACGGACCGAAGGGAGGTCATAGTAACCGTGGGCCGTAGATTGACATCATAGTATAATCCCTATAGTAATCCATATGTAATATGAACTAATATTCAATTACTGAAGTACACATTAATCGTCCAAGTACATACCCAGGTAGTAACTGATTGATCAACGGCCGATTACCGATCATGGCAAGGTACTTCGGTAATATCCCAAGTAATAGTAGGTACACTAACAGGATTTATGTACCTACTATGTACCTGCCTAGGTAGGTAGGCACAGGGGGTATTTACCCCGCGCATCGTCAGTTACTCCACGATGATCGACACTTTACCAAGGTCTTGCCCCACCAACGACCACTCCTGATCGATCATCCATGGATCCCGCCCATCATCGTCCGATTGAACGCCAATCACTGCACCATTTTGCGCATATACTCGGATAATTATGTATCTATGTAACTGCACATGCACACGCACATGCATATGCGCATGCACACACAGGACCAACATCACTAAGCCTGGAAGCTCCTCTCGCCCGCCCGCCCTCCAGCCGCCCAGGAGCGGAAACAGGCGATCCGTTGCGTCGCGTCACGATGGCAGATGATTTCCCACCTCCTCCTTCTTGCGCGCCAATCACGATGAGCTGGCCTGTCACTTCGGCCTGTCACAAGATTTATAAGCCAGTCGCGATATAAAGCGCAACCGGAATATCGGCCAATCTATCAAGCTACTTCCCTCGGTCTACTGTCGTACCTCCTCTTCAAGTGCTCGGTCTCTCTCTACATAAGTACCTTGCTCCAGGTGTCCCCTCCTACGAACATCGAGTCACTACTTAAGTACTTACCCCGGAAGACCACCTGAAACACCGGTAGGCATATCAATCCAAGCGCCTCTCAACGAACGAAAGACTCAACCCGAAACAAACCAAGACCAAAGCAACAATGTCCAACCACGACGAGATCTCCTTCCTCCCCCTCGGAGCCATCCTCCAGTCTCTCTACGTGGGCGACACCAACATAGTCCAGGGCTTCCCCACGCAGGATCTCTACGAGTCGCACAACAGCCCCCACTTCGGCGCCACCATCGGCCGCGTGGCGAACCGCATCTCCAACGCCTCCATCGACTCCCTCAACGGCGGCCGCACCTACAAGCTCGCCGCCAACAACGGGCCCAACAACCTGCACGGCGGGCCCGTGGGCTGGGGCAAGAGGGTGTGGGCCGGCCCGACCCCCGTCGGCGTGAGGGAGGAGGTCGCGCCTGGGTTTGGGAAGTTCAAGGAGGGCGGGGAGAGTGTCAAGTTTGCCCTGCGCTCGGAGGATGGGGACGAGGGGTTCCCTGGGGCGGTGGATGTCAGTGTTGTCTACACCGCGGGCAAGGACGAGAAGGGGGCTACGATCTTGGGGTTGGAGTACCAGGCTGAGCTGGTTGGTGGGGCGGAGGAAACGGTCGTCAATATCACGAATCATTCGTAAGTTGCACTTCTATTGCTTGGCTTTCCGGAGAGAGACGACCAGGAGAGACCGAGGGCCAAGGACATCAATCGGGGAGAACACCAGACACCCAACCGAGACGGTGTCCAATACGGTCCCCCATACCTATACTGTACACAATGCTGACTTGGTTCTCTCCTCCCACTACAGATATTTCAACCTCACAGGCAAGCCCACCATCGAGGGCACCCAGGTCGAGCTAATAACAAACAACTACCTCCCCGTCGACGCGACCGGCATCCCCACCTCGACCACGCCCGCCGCCTACCCCAAGTTCCGCGGCAGCCACCCCTTCACCCTCGGCGCCGAGGAGCCCGACGTCGACGACTGCTTCATAGTGAACGAGAAACCCGCCTCCATACCCCTCGACACCCGCCCCCAGGCCCTCAACAGGCTCGTCTCGGCGTACCACCCAGACTCCAAGATCCACCTCGAGGTCTACAGCACCGAGCCCGCCTTCCAGTTCTACACCGGCAAGTACATCGACGTGCCGGCCGTGGGCGGGTACCCGGCGAGGGGGTCGAGGAGTGGGTTCTGTGTGGAGCCGAGTCGGTATGTCAATGCGCCGAATGTGCCGGCGTGGAAGAAGCAGACGTTGTTGAAGAAGGGGGAGACGTATGGATCGAGGATTGTGTACAAGGCATGGAAGGATGGCGAGGGCCTTCTTCCCTATGATAAGAAGGTTGAAGCGACATCTGTATAGTGGCGCTATCCGCATTAGAGGCGGTCCCCATTTCTCAAGCCGCACCCTTGCGCGGCTGATTGTATTTATTCGAGTATCTAATCAAACATCGTCCATTTCCAATTCTGCATCCACATCCATATCCGCAGTAGCTCCCTCCTTAGGCGTTGGGGCCTTAGACTCCTGCTTCCTGTACAACCCAGCAAGGAACTCGCTCGTGCTAGCCTCATCAAGCCCCTTGTCATCCCGCTTCCTCAAAAACCGCGGGAACCTTAGACTCAACCCCCTATCCTCAGAAACCAGCCCAATAGCAGCCGTATACACCGGACTGAGCGTGATATCCGCAAACGCCATCTCCCAGACCTCCTGCGGCTCGAACCAAACATCCGGCTGTGGCCCAGAGTACTCGATAAACCCAGGCTGTCGGGTGTGTGTATTCTTCGACTCGCCGCCAGCGCTCCCATCCCCGCCATCGTCATACATTTCCTTATTGGCCTTGTAGAACGCGTCGGTAAAGCCGGAGATGCACTTCGTGACGACCTCGAGCGAGCCCGTCTCGTCGTTGCGGCAGGCCATGAGGATTGGTGACCACCACTTGTTCTTGCGCCCCGAGCCGTGCCAGCCTGCCACGGGGATGAGGTCGAGCGTGTCGAACGTCGCGCCGTAGTCCTTTTTTACCTTGAGCCAGGAGTCCAGCCGCTTGTCGGGCTCGTAGGTTGCGAGGAGCGGCTTCCTGCGCGACTTCTTCTTCGGCTCCTCGCTGCCGTCCTGCTCGACGGTACCCTTGGCGTTCTTTCTTGTCTTCTTTCCCTTGGCGGCGGCTGGTCTGGGCTTTTCAACAACCTCGCCGCTGGCGGTCTCTGCGGTGGGATCAGTGTCGCCTGTGTAGGCGAGTTCTGGGAGGTTATCCAGGATCTTCACCATGATCCCCTCACACTTGATATCCGTAGCCTGCTTGAAGAACTCCGACACAGCCTCCTGGTCCTGCGACGTGGCGTCGAAACTCCTAACCCACGTGAACCGGTGCGGCACCTCCGTGAACAGCGAGCGGAGCAGCTCGCGGCGCTCGCGGAAGGGCCGGTCCAGCAGCGGCTGGCCGTTGAGGTACATGAGGTCAAAGGCGAACATGCACACGTCGATGGTGACGCTGCCGATCTGCACGTCCTTCCTGGCGCGGTTGGACAGCGTCTGGAAGGTTCTGAGCTCGCCGTTCTCCCGGTCGATGGCCACCACCTCGCCCTCCATGATGAAGCTGCCGACGCCCTCGCTGCGGATCTTGGGCATGAGCGCCACGAGGTCCGGGTATTTATCGGTCATGACCTCCAGGTGCCGGGAGAAGATAGTCACCTTGCCCCTGTCATCGCAGTGAATCTGTGCTCGTTGGCCGTCGTACTTGAACTCGCAGGCGAACTCGCGCCCGTCGAGCTTGGTGAGCATCTCGGCTAGGTCTCTGGTTATGCTGCCCAGCATGGGTCGGAGTGGGACGTGGAGGGTGAGACCACATCGTATGAGCAATTCGTCACAGACACCAATCTCGAGCAGGGCGGGAACGAGGTCGTTGTAGTTTGGACGTCTGGCGAAGCAAGCCTTGACGATCTCCTCCGCCTTGTTGTAAACTTCAGTCAGTTCATCCTTCTTCAACGACGCCAGCTCCTTCTGACTCCTGACAGGGAACTCCGCGCCCGGTGGACGGGAAAGGAGGAACGCCCGAGATAGAGCGATGAGCATCGTCGTCTTGACCGCGCCGATACGAAGGTGCTGGCATAGCGTGCGCACGATATACCTACTCTCCTCGCCACCCCTTGCGTCCTGAAGCAGGCGGTCGACGAGCCTCTGCTTCTGCTCGACACTCCCCTGCCCTGAGCTGTTTGCTATCTTGACCAGGGACTGGTACACCCCTTTGATGGTCAACGGCTTCGGCCTCCGC